CCCACACCCAAAACCTACAGGGCCCACCTCCATTTCCCAGATCCACAATCTCTGCACCCTCGCAGCCCACAAGCACCGATTCCGAACCTGCCCGCCCCGGCCCTGCGCGCTCTCCCGCAACACCTGTCATGCCTGCCACCTGCTCGAGCTCGGGACCTTGCGCCTGACGGGGGGACGAGGAGGCTGCTGCTCCGATGCTTCTGTCCGCTTCAAGTTTTCAGACTCCACTTTTTAAGCATGGACTTGGAGACGGCCGAGCTTTTTGACTGTACTGCTGAGTTTGAAACGGGGCAGGGTTTACAACCTTGACTGGAAGCGGACTCCGGGCCTCCGACACCTGCTGCAGCGAGGGCCCTGCCGTTCCCGGCAAGTACGGGTTCGTTTCCAATGACTGCCTTTCCCTCTTTCACAACACAGTTCCTGAGAAGTCACAGGTGCTGGTTGTTTCTGGAAACCCTCCTGCGTTCTTGCTCGTCAATGAATGCTATATTCCTCATTTCACAGCTGGGAGGCGAGTCGGTGGACGGTGGCTGCTTCCGGCCTGACCAGTTTCCTGCTTCCCTTCTCAGTTTCCCCGACATCTCTGTGGCCCTCCTCTTTCTGAACTGAAGCAGCCAGCAGAGAGCAGTCCTTGTCGGGCTTCTCTGCTCCGCGGCTGACGAGTTAACGGCCTTTGAGCTCAGTCCAGAAGCCACGTTCATGCTGGCGCACAACTCAGCCCTTCGCTGGGTTGTTTCTGCAGCTCAGAGGTGATGTTTACACGGTGATAGCTTCTGGTCCTCCTTGTGAAGCACATGTTACAGTAAAAGAGCCCTAACTGACAAAATCCTGCTCTTAAGATCCCTGGCAGTCGGGCCCACGTTGTGGTGCAACAGGTTAAGCTGCTGCTTGCAATGCCGGCATCCCATATGGGCACCAGTTCATCTCAGCTGCTCCACTTCCAACCCAGCTCTCTGCTAATGTGCCTGGGAAAGCAGTGGAAGGCGGTCCATATGGGATGCCGGTGCTTCAGGCCAGGGCTTTAACCCACTGCGCCACAGCTGCTCTGGGATCCTTGCTCACCTGATGTCCCTTCCTTCCTGCGCTTGCCTATGCCTTGTGGGTTACTGCCTTGAAAATCAGATCTGAAGACCTGACACTGCAAGAGCTGTAACAAATACCAACTAAATGCACAAAGCAAAAAGGATTCCTTATGGAGGTTTTTGTTATTGCCAAAGTCACACCAAATTCCCACATGGCTGTAAAGGTTTTATTTACCAGTTACTAAAGCTAAAGCTTTAGAACACAATATAAATTTTTAAAAAGTTAACATTGTTTCCCATATTGGCCTGAATATAAGGTTTATGACTTATTTTTCCTTTTTTTTTTTTTTTTTTACAGGCAGAGTTAGACAGTGAGAGAGAGAGAGAGACAGAGAGAAAGGTCTTCCTTTGCCATTGGTTCACCCCCAAAATGGCGCTGCGCAGATCCAAAGCCAGGAGCCAGGAGCCAGGTGCTTCCTCCTGGTCTCCCATGCGGGTGCAGGGCCCAAGCACTTGGGCCATCCTCCACTGCACTCCCGGGCCACAGCAGAGAGCTGGCCTGGAAGAGGGGCAACGGGGACAGAATCCGGCACCCCAACTGGGACTAGAACCCGGGGTGCCGGTGCCACAGGCGGAGGATTAGCCAAGTGAGCTGCGGCGCTGGCCAAGGTTTATGACTTTACAAAAATACAACATGAGTAGGTGTTTGGTGCAGTGCTTAAGGGACCACCTGGGGAGCCCACCGCCTGTACTGCAGTGCCTGGGTTCAAGTTCTGGCTCTGCTCTCGGTCCAGCTTCCTGCTAACGCACACCCTGGGAGGGAGCAGGTGGTGGCGCCAGTACTCGGGTCCCTGCCACCTATGTGAAAGACATGGATTCAGATCCAGGACCCTGGCTTTAGCTTGGCCTAACCCTGACAGATGCAGGCATTTGGGGGAGTGAACCAGTAAACAGAAAATCTCTCTCCTCTTTCTCTGTTGCTCTGCCTTTCACATAGATGAAAATGAGTAAGTAAACATTCTTTTCAAAGAATGGAGCCTAAAGGGCCAGCGCCGCGGCTCACTGGGCTAATCCTCCGCCTAGCGGCGCCGGCACACCGGGTTCTAGTCCCGGTCGGGGCGCCGGATTCTGTCCCGGTTGCCCCTCTTCCAGGCCAGCTCTCTGCTGTGGCCAGGGAGTGCAGTGGAGGATGGCCCAGGTGCTTGGGCCCTGCACCCCATGGGAGACCAGGAAAAGCACCTGGATCCTGGCTCCTGCCATCGGATCAGCGCGGTGCGCCGGCCGCAGCGCGCCGGCCGCGGCGGCCATTGGAGGGTGAACCAACGGCAAGGGAAGACCTTTCTCTCTGTCTCTCTCTCTCACTGTCCACTCTGCCTGTCAAAAAATAATTAAAAAAAAAAAGAATGGAGCCTAAAGGTTAGTCCTTCTGCCGAGGCAGCTGTGTCAGTATTGCATTGCTTCCCAGTCCCTTCTTTCTGTCTTGTCAGGCAGGAAAATGCTGGCCAGAGAGATGCGCCCTCTGACATCCGGCAGCTCCTGTCAGTCACTGAGTGTGGCACATCCCATCCGCCGCCCCGTTGCTCAGCACAAGTGCTAACATGGCAAATGAAGAGAAGAACTCAGATGCAGGGGCCAGCGCCATGGCACAGCAGGTTAATCCTCTGCCCGTGGTGCTGGCATCCCATATGGGTGCCGGTTCTAGTCCTGACTGCTCCACTTCCCATCCAGCTCTCTGCTATGGCCTGGGAAAGCAGTAAAAGATGGCCCAAGTGCTTGGACCTCTGCACCCACATGGGAGACCAGGAAGAAGCTCCTGGCTCCTGGCTTCGGATCGGCGCAGCTCAGGCCATTGTGGCCAGCTGGGGAGTGAACCAATGGAAGGAAGACCTCTCTCTCTGTCTCTGCCTCTCACTGTCTGTAACTCTACCTTTCAAATAAAATAAATAAAATCTTAAAAAAAAACACCTCAGATGCAGTGAAACCCTACTTAATGTATGGTGCTCCTCAAGTTAACAGGAAACCTACGGGGTGGGTTTTTTCAATTCCTCACCTTGTCCTCCTGGCTCTGAAACAGAAACATCCTGGACTCGGCGTCTAGGGCTGGATGCTGTGGGTGTTTAACATAAAACTACAGAAGCAAGGGGTGCTATAAAACCTAGGCAGGTGGGAGAGGTTGAAGTGCTCATACAGTGTCTTGGTTCCTCCATGAGAGGGCGTTACTCGTGAATTATTCTGTGTTTCTCTCACTTATTCTCTCGTTCCAATACAAGCAATATAGTAAATGCTCACATAAACCCTTCAAGATAGATCTCACTGTCCCCAATTTATAGGTAAAAGCTGAAGATGGGGGCTGACATTGTGAAGTAGTGGGTTGAACTGCCAGCTGCAATGCCAGGATCACACATGAGCACTGACTCCCAGCTGCTCCACTTCTGACCCAGCTCCCTGCTAATGTGTCTGGGCGAGGAGCAGAAGATGGTCCAAGTGCTTGGGCCCCTGACACCCATATAGGAGACCTGGATGCGGCTCCTGGCTCCTGGCTTTGGTCTGGCCCAGCTCCAGCTGCAGATGTTTAGAGAGTAAACCAATGGATAGAAGATCTATCTCTCTCTCTCTCTCTGCCTTTCAAATAAATAAAATAATTTTTTTAAAAAAAGCTAGAGAAACGTGTTCAAGGTCAGGTGAGAACCAGGATTCAAGGCAAGACAGTCTGGCTCCAGCACCTGCACCCTGCTGCACCACCCTTGAAGGAAGCGGTCCGGCCGTCTGCGCTAGCCCTGTCCCCACGAGGCTGTCAGTGGGTGCTCCTGGCTCAGTGTCCCGGCTTCCAGGCCAACACGGTCGTCCCGTCAGGTTGCTCTGCTGAGCCCGAGTCCCCTCTTGCCGGGAGCCCCACCGCTGACACCTTAGCTTCCTCCCAAGGCCACCAAGCCTGCTTGATGATGACAATCACTGGAACACTTGTCTAAAACGTGGAGGATTGTCTAAACTGCAGGATCCGGCCTCGGAGACTCCTGTTTGCTGGGTCACATGCAGCCCAGGGCATGTGCATTTCTTTCTTTTCCCTCCCTCCCTCCTTCTCCTTTTTTTTTTTTTTTTTTTTTTAATATTTATTGATTTATTTGAAAAGTCAGTTACAGAGAAGAAGAGGCAGAGGTAGAGAGAGGTCTTCCATCCACTGGTTCACTCCCCAGATGGCTGCAATGGCTGGAGCTGGACCATCTAAAGCCATTGACTGGTACACGGTGCACACAGCATTTTTTCTCCAGGAAAGGTGGGAAGGCGGGGTGGGGTGGGGTATGGATGGAATGTCTTTGTGGACCTTTCTTTTTGAGCAATGAGTCTTAGAATTCTCTGCTCTCGTCATGAACAGCTTAGATCACACAGAAATTAAGCCGTCTTACACAGTTCTGTTAAACCCTGCCTAAGAGAATCTTGGAGAAGGGTAAATTAAACACAGAGGAGAGAGGAGTCCACAGCACTTCTGCTCTGAAGGACCCTGAAGCAAACCCCTGTGTAACTGAGAGAGGGCCCAGGCTTCTCGACTTCCACCTTCATAAACAGGATGCAGAACGATCAAGGCGGATGTTTTCCCAGGGATTAATTCAATTTACAGAATCCCACCAGAAAGCAGGAATGGGCTCTGAGGCTCACAGAACTCAAAGGCAAACCTGCTGACATTCAGGATGATCAAGAATACTTTTCATGGTGACAAAACCATCTCAGCCCTGCCTCCCATGTCTGCCTCTGTCGCTCTTGTCACCGACGACACCTTCGCCCCAGGAGCCACGCAGGCCAGACCGGCTGCTCTCTATGTGAGTCCGCAGGGGATGCACAAGAGCGGGAGCAGAAAATCCTGTTCAGAGACAGTCACGGAGGGGCGGGCAGGACAGTCCTGCGGGCACTGGGGCCACTTTGCTTCTCCGGAACTCCTGTGGGGGGCGCCATGGGTCACTGCCAAGGGAGGAGGCTACGTACCTCTTGGTGGGCGTGGGCACTCCGGAGGACGTGTGGCTAACCATGGTGTCATTCATATTAGTCAGAGGGCGGGGAGGACTGAAAGAAAAGACATGGCTATTATTATTATATGTTATTAACATTATTACTTATGCCCAACATGATCAGGGGAGACAGGGAAAACATAGTAAGGCCCGGGACCAGCTGTCATTCCTGCCAAGCACAGCGGGACCACAGGGAGCCGCTCTCTCTTGCCAGCCACCGGGCAGCTGGGGGTAGCAACTAGCCATGAACAACGACCAGAGGGTGTGGCACTGGCGGCTTCTGCTCTGACACCTGGTGCACAGGAACCTGAATCCTGACACTCAGTTCATCCTGCTGTGTCGAGGCAGCAGATGGCCGGTGCCTGGCCGTTGTGCATCGAGAAGGTCACCCGCCTTTGCTGCGCCTCAGTCAGACTCGCTGCCTGCCCACAGAGTTAGGTTGTGATCTTTTCTCCCCAACAAACCGCCACACACTAAATCAAAATGTGAAACTCCAGAGCTCACGCTTTTAATTCTTTGGTAGAATCTTGGCAATGAATCCGCACCCTACTTGGAATGCTGTCTTTTCTAACCTAAGCCAGGTCTCAGTTGGAAGGTAAGCACTTTGGGTTACTTGTCTCCAGCTGCTGGTTCTCTTTCTTTTTGTTAACTTTTTTTTTTTTCAGTTTTTAAGATTTAATAATTTTTAACATGCTGCCACAGTCGCTTTCTATGTAGACAGAGGGAGAGGGAGAGGGAGAATCTTTCATCTGCTGGTTCACTCCCAAATGGCCATGATGGCCAGGGCTGGGCCAGGCCGAAGCCAGGAGCCTGGAGCTCTGTCCGGGTCTACCAAGTGGATGGCAGGGCCCAAGCACTTGGGTCATCTTCTGCTTTCCCAGGCCACAGCAGGGAGCTGAGTGAAAGCGGAGCAGCCGAGACTTGAACAGAGCTCATACGGGATCCTGGCACTGCATGCAGCGATTTAACCCACTGAGCCACCAACGCCGGCCCCTTGCTTTTGTTTTAATTCATTTCTAGGTGGGGTTTTTTAAAAAAAAATGTTTCCGGCCGGCGCCGCGGCCCACTAGGCTAATCCACCTTGCGGCACCGGCACACCAGGTTCTAGTCTCGGTCAGGGCGCCGGATTCTGTCCCGGTTGCCCCTCTTCCAGGCCAGCCCTCTGCTGTGGCCAGGGAGTGCAGTGGAGGATGGCCCAAGTGCTTGGGCCCTGCACCCCATGGGAGACCAGGAGAAGCACCTGGCTCCTGCCATTGGATTAGCGCGGTGCGCTGGCTGCAGCGCGCCAGCCGCGGCGGCCATTGGAGGGTGAATCAACGGAAGGAAGACCTTTCTCTCTCTCACTATCCACTCTGCCTGTCAAAAAAAAAAAGTTTCCCATTTACTGGAGAAGATCCAGGATAGAAAATAATTTGCAAGGAACAGATTTAGGTCCCTTAATTTTCAAGCTATAATACTATGCTTATTGTTTTACATTCCTCACTTTGTGTTGACAACTCCCTAAGAAAGATAGTCAGAATTAAGATGTGTCTTTCCAGGCTAGAATCTGACCCCAAGTTATCTTTGACTACCTGTCTTTAGAGACACCCAATCTCCCCCGACCCAAAACTTTCAAATCTATTCACATGCTTGTCTCGGCTGAGTCATAATCATTGAGTCAACTGTTTTAGTCTGAGAGACGATGGAGGTAAACATCAAGGCGAGCTTCCTCCTATGTTAAAATTGTTTTTTGCCTCTGGTTCTTTTAAATCAGTTGTCCGACTGGAGCAAGGAGCAAGTGCAGCCCAAGGTCCAAACTCAGCGTCACAAGTTGCCACACTCAGGGCATTGGCTCATTCTGGTCCTGGAAACCGAATGGCCTTTGCTGCCTTAATGTATTGGCTTTTTTATTAGCAACCCATACCCAAAATAAGATAAGGACATTTTCGTGTGACTTTCAAAACGAATGCCAGTTATTCAGTGTATCTCAATATTAAAGATAACGACTGCATTCAATTTTCCTTCTTACATTCAGAGGAAAAATGACAATGGGACAGTTTTATAAATTCTTTAAACATGGGTCCATGTGATAAAATTTCATGATTTATAGTGTTTGGTCTGATGCCACAAAAGTATCTGTAATAATCATCGTTATCAGATGTTCAACTATTTAGCACAGAGATGCCTTTCTGTAGGATTCAAAATCAGACAGCAGTAACTACAGTCTGCCCTGTACCCTCATCATACTTGCCCCCAAATTGCAAACCCTGTCTGAACTCCTAACATGTTTTGCTTGAGAGCCAAGGGCATGTCGCTCGAGATGGAAAGGCCTTCACGGCAGGACTGCCACGAGAGCCACGGTTTGCTGGGGAAGCCAACAGTGCAGGTGCACGCTTGGCTGTCACACACCCAGAATGACTGCCCACGCCCCGAAAGCCTTCATGGTTCACAGCTGAAAGACGACTTCAAGACGCTGATGGCACAAGTTACAGGAACTTAGGACAACAGAAAAATGGGCATGCTCATCAGCTTTGTTTTGTTGATCTTCAACACTTAAAACCAGCTGAACACGCTGAACACGTCTCCAGGTAGCACGTGTCTTCCTCTGGTGACAATCTCAGCGAGGTCTCTCTGGATGCTGAGTTCCAGGACATCAGAAAGGCTACCAAGCATTCTCTGGACCAGAAGTTTGTTAGGTTCTTTCTCTGTTGCTAAGATGTGCTCCACCCCCACCCCCCACCCCCCACCCCCATTTGGCGGCTGCAGAAGCAGATGGATGATACAGGTAGCAGGAAATCAGCTAGTCAGAGAAGGCAGTTGTAAAGACTTGGATGGGCCAGTGTTGTAAGATGGTGAGTTAAGCTGCTGCTTGCAACTGTGGCATCCCAGCTGCTCCGCTTCTGGTCCAGCTCCCTACTAATGTGCCTGGCAAGCAGCAGATAAATGGCTTGGGTACTTGAGTTCCTGCCCATGTGGGAGACCCAGACGGAGTTCTTGGCTCCTGACTTCAGGTCGGCCCAGCCTTGGCTACTGGGGCCATCTGGGGAGTGAACCAGTGGATGGAAGACCTCTCTTTCTGTGTCTCTCACCCAACCTTTTGAATAAATAAACTCCTGCTTGCAGGAGTGAGGGGAAGCACGGCCAGGGAAGTAATGAGCAGCAGCTTCCAGATGCAAAAACATCACCACTAAGGGCACCCTCCCTGGTCTGAAAACACACAGATTCCAAACCTCCGTGGTTTACTGGGCTGTGTAACATATCTGGTTAGTCCAAGGACTAAGCCTCAAGGACCACTTTTGAGGAGTAGCTGAAAATACATCGGATCAGTACACAAAGGGTCAGGATGTGAACGAAACTTATTGCATCACAAGTTAAGGAGTCTGACTTCACAAGGTAGGCAGTGGGGGAAGCCAAAAAACTGATGTGACCATAGTTGGGTTTTTAGTTATTTCTATTTATTTTGAATTTGTGTTTATTTGAAATAGAGGGAGGGAGGGAGGGAGGGAGGGAGAGGGGGAGGAAGGAGAAAGGGAGGGAGGGGGTAAAGGGGGACAGGGGAAATGGGGGGGAGAGAGAGGCAGAGATCCTCCACCTGCTGGTTCACTCCACAAATACTGTCAGGGCTAGGCCAGGCCAAAGTCAGGAGCCAGGAATTTAATCTGGGTCTTCCACATAGGTGGCAGGGACCCAAGTGCTTGGGCCATCACCTGCTGCCTCCCAGGGTGAGGAGTAGCAGGAAGCTGAAATCAGGAGTGAAGCTGGGACTCAAACCCAGGCATCCAAAATAGCAGCTTAACTGCTACACCGAACATCTGCCCTTTCAGTCAGGATTTTACAAGATAATTCTAGAAACTTGTAGAATATGATAAAAATCAGGGGTATGCACAGAAGTGACCTGGCAATTGTGTTATAAAACAAGATACCCAAGACCTATTCTCAATTAGTGGATCTGCATCTGTAGGGGCAAAGAGATCCTTCTAAGGCACATCCCCCCATTTAACAATCGTTTATGTAGGATGGATTTGGTGGGAGGAAGGGACGGAAGCTGGGAGACCAGATACAGGTTACAGCAACCATCCAGACCCGTGATTACGAGGGTGGGCAGTGATGGTGGAGTCGGGGCACAGTCGGTACCATGCAGGGTGGCACAGATGAACTACAGTGACTGATTAAGCAGAGTCAAGGAGAGAAGAATAACTGAGATTTTGGACTTGGCTCCAGGGCAGATGGCCGAGTATTGGGTGTTGGATTGGTGGGGGCAGAGGGCAGGAAAGCAAGGGTGACCGTGGGTTTCGTTCTGAGTCTGCTGAGTCTGAAGTGTCATTAGGCACAGGTGAGTGGATGTCTGGGAAGCTGCTGAGAACAAGAGGACAGAGCCTGGGTGCAATGGTCAAGAGTCACCACTGAAGAGGCAGCTGTTTGTCTGAGTGTTCTGCTCACCACAAAGGCACGTTTGTGCGGTTCTAGGGGGAACAGGGCAGGTCTGGGAAAACACCCAACAAGAGGGTGGCCGAGATAGCAGGTGGAGAGCCTCAGGACTGTGGGCAGACACATGCCCTGTAACAAAGTCAACATTTAACCTACTGGAACCAGGCTGTTTCACATAGTTCACTCCAAAGGATGCTCTGGGATACAGACTAACATATCTCTTAAAAATCTTCCAGGGCCGGTGTGGGGAGCAATCCGGACTGGACTAAGTTACTGGAATTAAGACTTATTCTATGCATCTGCTCTCCCAATATGGCGCTGGGAGAGAAGTAAACAGCTTCTACCCAGCTGCCTCTCACCAACTTGACAAGCTGCAGAAGCTGCTCCTGATTGGAGGAGAGCGGCGTGCTCGGCGTGTGGGCAGCCGAGTTAGGATTGGCAGAGGAGGACTATAAAGGAGGAGAGAGACGGCATGCACCAGGAACATCTAAGGGGAACATCTAGCTGAAGGAACACCTGTGCAGCCCCCGAGAAGAGCCGGCCGGCGGTGTGCCGCTCCCCTGCGGAAGTGGGGAATGTGGCCAGGGGGAACTGCCCTTCCACGGAGGTGGAAGGGACAGTAGCCAACCCGGGAAGAACCAGCAGCAA